AGAAATTTGGGTCAAGAGGTATAACACTGAAGATGGCACGAGATGGTGGCAGCAGTATGAGCGACAGGAACTATGGAACTGGCAGAGGGCTGTGGTGGTGCTTGCCGGTCCACAAGGAGAGAGAGAGAGTGCGTGAGCTGAGTGCCTTGGGGCAGGAAGCTTGCTGGCAGAGTGGGGTGCCTCCGGGTACTTACTGGCAGAGCCAAAAGAGCTGCAGCAGTTGCCCGAGCAGGGCAGAGGCCTAGAGAAGGGCCATCGGCTGGCACGGCCAGGAGAAGGGCCTGCCTTCGGGCATGGCTGAGAAGAAGCTCAGAACAATCCTGACTGACGAAGTTGATCCTGTCTCCTGAGTATCTTGTTACTTCCAAGTTGATCCTGATCCTGAGTAGTTACTTTCCTAATAAATCATGTAGTTGTGAGTATGGTCTGTGAGTCCTGTGTCGCCATTGCAACAAATTATCGAACCCAGCAAAGTAGTAGAGAGTGCGTGGTTAGGATGGCTGGTGTCAAGTGGTGAAAAAATTGAAGAGGGAGGTGTGTCTGACCTTCACCTCTTGTGAACCAGATTTGTGCTGATCCTGATTCTTATCTCTCGTGATGTGGACAAGTTCAGACGCTAGAATACAAGTACAAAGAATAATATTCACAGTTGTTGGAACTGGCTATTAAAATACATATTTCTTTTCTAATTACATAACTGCATAAAGTCAGATTTTTTTCATTTACTTCAATCAAAGCAGCATATTACAAGAGATTGAATGCACAAGCAGATATTAGAATCCAGCTGTCTTCTGTGAACTAGACAATAATGAGATTTACAAAATTGTAAAGCAGTGACACTGCTGATTTACGTTTTTGTTTGGGAAGTTATTTTTTTATAGAAATGTTATTTGTATTAACTAGCCTTATTTTTTTATTTTAAAAGAATTAAGAAATTAGCATTAAAATTCTCAATTTTAATTTCTAATATGGCAAATATCAATATATGTAACTTACATAAACAAAGGGGCTTTGGGGTCTTCAGTAATTTTTTTACTGTGTAAAGGGATCCTAAGACCAAAAAGCTTAAGACTACTGGTGTATACCATTCCGCCTCTTGCTCCCAAGAGGATTGCTGTACCTCCTGGCATTTCATCTGTATTCCAGGCTGGAAGAGGAAGGAAAAATGCAGGAGAAAGGGGCAATGGCTATATCAGGAAAACAAAATGTTTTTCCAGAAAATCTCCAGGTTAGGTTTCATTAGAGAGAACTTTCTTACATCTTCTCTCTCAAATGCAGAGTAATCTGGGAAAGTGAGAACTTTCAGCTGGGTTCATTGCTGCTCGGAACAAAGTTGGGGTCCTGTTGGTGGGGAAATAGGGAAGTGAATGTTGGGCAGGCAGTTAGGAATATCTTTACACACAGTTCTTTTGGTTTGTCTTTTTAAAGACTGGCCCTCATCATAGTTCCAGCAAACAGCCACATGAAGTTCTGTTGTTCGACTCTTTTATACTGATTCCCAAAAACTTGCTTAGGCATCTCACCCGATTGTCTTCTTGATAGTTCTTGACTTCTGCTTTCCAGGGTGTTTGGTCTTTGTGGGCTCTACGTCTCAGTTCTACCCCCAAAGTACATTTTATTGGAGCCACTCATGAACTTGCAACATAGCATTGACAAGACTGTTTAAATTGCAAAATGTCCCTTATTCTTCAACAAAGCTTGTTTTTGTCTTCGTGATTTGACAGCTTCTTACGTAAACAAAACTTTGCTTTCTCACACCCTCAGACTCAGTTTTTCCCAGTCCGTTTATGAATCTGGTTCCTGATGGATTTATCTGTATGGACTCAATTGTGAGCTCACTGTCATCCTTTACACAGAAATGTACTTTCACAATTGTCATACTTTGCCTTTTAAATAGTGAGTCATAGCCCTTATGGATTATTCTGGTCCAGGATTTGGAATGGAACTTGTACTTTAAAGTGCATTCTAGGGACCAGCAACTTTGAAGTCACCTGGGAGGTTATTGGTAATGCAGAATCTCCACCCCACCCCAGGCCTAAGGAATCACAGTCCCTATTTTTACAAGATCCTCAAATGATTCAGGTGCACACATTTGGAGAAGCACTGGTCTAAGGAAGACGACAAATGAGAAGAGGGCCTGGGGCTGTTCTGAGGAGCCCCATATTTACGGTAGACGACAGGAGCCCCCCACAGAGACTGAGACGTGAGAGAGGGCCAGGGAAGGGTGTGGGATCACAGTGCAGCCTCTCGTAGGGCCTTATCTGAGGGAGAAGGGCACGGGAAGCCTTTCATCTCTTTTAAAGTTCCAAGTGATTGTACCCATTAAGCATTGGCTGGAAGAATTAACGGTCTTAGAAAAATAACTTTTTTTGCTTGGGCACTGAAGCTTGGTTTTGTCTTGAACTGGAACTCTTTTGTTTTTGGCATACCTGCTTCTAGTTCCTGACATTGATGTTCGGCAAGCTTTTCCTCCTCCTCATTCAGAAACATACATTCTAACTGTAGGCTGAGCAGTGTTAACCGCCCGCGCCCTGATGTATGTTTGTACTGTTTCATGGCATTCTCTAATTTTGCCCTAGTTGTGCTGTCCTTATCAAAACACCGTCTCGGAGTAGGTGTGTGAGTCCACGGTCTTTGGCACAGGACTGGGACTCAGGTTGTTTTTGTCCATGTTCTGTGTCTCACACAGTCTTCACATCTAGTCAGCACACAGCCCGGAAGTGGGAGTGAGTGACTCAGATGAATAAATCTTGCTTTCTGAAAGTAGGTCTGGTGTGCTCCTGTACTTTTTAGACTTTTCTGTAAGTCCAAGTAAATGGGCATTAAATAGCAATGTTTGGAAAAAGAAAGAAGTGGTCTGTGGGAACTGAATTATTAAGGTCCTACCAAATAGTAAGTAGATCGTTGTTGAATGCCATTGAGTGGATTCCAACTAACAGCAGCCCTGTATAACAGATAGAACTGCCCCGTGGTGTTTCCTAGGCTGTAATCTTTACAGAAGCAGATCCCCATGCCTTTTCTCCCACAGAGCTGCTCTTGGGTTTGAACTGCCGACCTTTCTGTTAATAGCCGAGCACTTAACCATTGTGCCACCAGCACTCCTTTAAATAGGGCGTAAGCTATCCTAAATATTTGCAGGTTTCTGCCTTTTAAAAGTCTGTGTCTTTAGGGGCTGGTTACTTGTTTAATTTTACCAACGCAAAGTATTGTTCTAACAAGAAAAAAAGAAGAAAGGCTTGCATCGGCGATTGTATGAAGTTCATAAGGTAAAGAGCACCTTTTAGCTCTTTGTCTGGATTTATGTTATCTGGCGTAGCAGCTTGGGCTCTCTCACCTTCAGTCCATTCTTTGCAGAGTAATGAATGTCAGAAAGGTCTAGAGTGTGACTTATAGCTTCTCTTTCTACCTCAGAACTTCTCTGTAGACTTCCAGATGGTGTCAAACTAGCTATTCCTTGTGCGGTAGTGGATAATGTAATGGTTGTTCTAGTTGACTTTTCTGTACAAAGAATCCAGGACATACGGTATCTTTGCTTGCGTTCGTTGTTGTTGTGTGCTCTCAAGTCAATTCTGACCCATAGCGATCCCATGCGACAGAGTAGAACTGCCTTATAGGGTTTTCTTGGCTGTAGTCTTTATGGAAGCAGATTGCCAGGCCTTTCTCCCGCAGAGCTGCTGGGTGGGTTTGTACCACCAACCTTTCAGTTTCTTCTTCAGCACTTTAGGGTTTCCAGTGTGTTCAGAAGTCAAAGGCAGTTTATATTTTGGTGGGTTGAGGGGAAGTGGAAAATTAAGACTTTGCTGATGGCTAGCTCTCTTTAAGGAGAGCTTTGATGGATGAAATTAATTCTTCCTCAAAGGAATTTTTCAGTGATCCACTAACTCCTTTGTACTTCTAATTGAACAATACTATTTTACCTACTAATTACACCTTAACCTTCTTTTGGACTTACCAGGGGTTATTGCATGGCATGTGAACTGAATGGAGAATAGATACTTTAAAAAATCTAAATAACATCGTCATTTCCTTTTTTAAAAGCTTTTTACTCATTTAGGTGTAGAGCAAGGATGAGTGGATTCAGGAAATGTTCCTTTCATATTTTTAAAGGTCAGATTTACGTTTTTGAGTGTGCACTTTTTCAAAAAGTAAAAGGACTTTCTAAAAAGTACTTTTGTGTACCAGGGAGGTCCACCTAAAGGGCAGAAGGACCAGGTCAGAAGTGAAGAACCTAAAGGAAGGCATTGACAATAGAAGTGCAGATAAGATGTGAGATAGAGGAAGAATTTGATACAAGGCTTTGTGACTGAATGTGGAGGGTGAGAAATGAGAAGTGAGGAGAGGAGCACTCCCAGATTTCTCTGATCTGGGAGGAAAACAGGCTCCAGGGACAAGACGTGGTCTGGGCCATGTCCCTGTTGACTACCCAGGACATAAAACCAAGAAAACCCATTGCTGTTGAGTTGATTCTGACTCATAGCAACCCTGTAGGACAGAGTAGAACTGCCCCATAGGATTTCCAAGGAGCAGCTAGTGGATTTGAACTGCCCACCTTTTGGTTAGCAGCCGAGCTCTTAACCATTACACTACCCAGGACATAGTCAAATCACTCAAGTAGAGTCAGCTGTCCTGCTTTCTTCTTCGCTATTCTGTGTCTCCTCATAAGTTGGACTATGTTACCTACAGCTGAATGTGCCCTTCTTTCCTCTGAATCTCCAGTAGGATGTGTCTCAAGGCACTTAACGCCCTCTTATTGTTACAGTTAATTCCAAACTCCTGCTCTTTCCTTCATCGGATGTTAAGTTCCTTTAGGCCAGGAACTGTTGTTTTATTCACATCTCTGCCAGATTCTCCAACAGCTCATACCTGGCCCAGTATTTAATAGGGGTGTGCTCAGAAAATTTAGTTGAAGGAAGAATTTGTCAGTAGGATTGTTAGGATCAGTTACTTGTTCTTTGTCCATTGTAATCTTGATACTTAATACCTGTCTGGTTTCCTTGCAGCATGAGAAGACTTTGGGACATTCCATGAGTCATTCGAGTAACATTTGTAAGGTACAGTGCCACTAAAACATTGTTCTTGTAGTCTGGGATGTTTCTGTTCTTATACTGGATGTGTTTATACTCTTTGTTTTAAAGATGTGAAGTGATTGATACATTTCTTTAATGTGCTCTGGGACCATACAGTGATGGGTCACAGTTGTTTTTATAGGGGGACAATTTTACGAGGGTATTAAGTTAGGAGGAGTGACTTAGAGGAGAAAACACGGTTTCTTCCAGTAGAAATCATAGACTTCTGGGAAGAAGAAATCTCAGAGAATCTGTTACTTCAAATAGGAATGCATTTGACTGAAAGTAACAGAGAACTAGCTATGGTGACTTAAGTAATTAGGGGATTATACGGTTCACATGACAGGATGTCTGCAGGTAGGGGGTCCGGGACTGATGAAGTTGCTCAGAGATGTTGCCAGGGGCCCATATGCTCCTAATCTCTCTGGGCCTCCATCCTGAGCACATTGTCATTCTCCCGCTTAACACCACATGATCTCAAGCTGGAAGCTGAGCCTCAGGCACCGTGGAGTCTATCAGCTGAGTCTGGCCCTCTTTAGCAGGAAAGTAAAGCTTTCCCAGAAGCCCCACCCGGTTGGCTAAACTCTACTTATACCTCACTGGCCAGAACTGGATTACAGGGTCACCTCTAACTGGAGTGGGGGCTAGGAAAGGGAACAGTGTGGAGGATGGATCAGCCATCCTCCAGCATCTGCCATACTTGTGGTCACTTAGTCTACTAGGAGCACGCCGCCTGCTAGGGTGACCCGGGAGCCAGCAGACGGCACCCCGCACGCGTGCTATGGCTCCGCAGCTCACACTGTGCTCCCCTCTCAGCCGTGACGTGGACTCGACCAACTGCGGTCCCTTCCCAGTCCTTGCGGGTACTGACTTTCTCCCCATGTCTTTGTCAGCCTGCTAAACGTTGACACGGGTTCTGATGGGAAGATTTGAACGGTGTCACAAAAGCTGTACTGTTGTCTCAGGCCTCCTAAATGCATAGCCACGTTGTTTATCATTTTTATTTACTAACCGCGCAGGTATTTTCATGCTTTCATATTAACTTATCTTTTTCAAGTAAAAGTTGAAAATCCTTTTCAAACATTGATTGCTCTGTCCTCAGGTGTGTTTGGGATTTAATCATACCCCTCTTCCGCTTAGTTTTGTGTATGAAGAAAAGTTCAGACTGCTTGGCGTGATGTTGAAGGCCACTCAGAGTTTGGTCCTTGACGCCTCTCCTAGCCTCGTCTCCCACCAGACCTATCACTCGAGCTGTGTGCTTCAGCCACATCATCTAAATGCCTTTCACTGACTATTCTCTCCTGTTCCAGCCACTTTTCTTTTGCTCTTCCTGCAGCTGGTAATTCTAGACCTATGAAACGGCGTATTGGTAGATCATTATTGCCTTACCACTTTTCAAAGGGGTGGTTAATGTGTGAGCAGCAAGAAGACTGAGAAGGTGTCAGATCCAGATGGCCTGTCTGATTACCTTGAATTAAACCTTTTTTAAAGATGAAGTGGAACTCATTTCCTTGGCAAGTGGCTGGCTGAGGGCATTTCTAAAGGAGGACGTCATCCAGTAACTCAGATGTGTCTCTCAGTTTGTTTATGGTTTTGGGGTAAGGTTTTATGTGAAGGAAAGGTTCTTTCTACAGTTAAAAAAAAGTTTGAAAATGACTGACCTGCAGTATCTAGAGAAAAAGCTATGGGCCTGGCACAGGCATGTGGGTATTGTGAGTTGCTCTGTGAAGGTTTTGGGGTCAGATGGGCAAGAGTTTACTGGCCATGTAACCTTGAGGAGAGACACTTTTCTGAGCTTTAATTTCCTCATAAATAAAATTGGGGTGATGATGGGTCTTGAGGATTGTTGGTGCGTCTTAGAGGTAGTATTTGTCAGGAATCCGTGGGGCATCTCTCATTGCAGTGAGCCAGTACACCTGACTTTGTTGAACTTCAGGTTTGTCCCTGGTGGGCTTAGATTGACTGGTCCAGGACAGTCCTTGATGGTCGCCGTTGTTATTGTATTGCTAATCAAGGGCAGACCATTTGTGAAGTGAAAATGAGGAAATCTAACCCAAACTCTGGCTTTTAGTAGAACGACCTCTAAGGCCTTCCCTGGAGTTTTCCTTTCTTCCTTCTCGCACACATTTTCACTGCGTGCTCTTTGGGCCAGGCACTGTGCTGGGTGCTGGCAGGAAGTGATGAGCGAGACACACGTGACCACAGGCCTCTTGGAGCTTTCCCGTAGGCTCCACACCTTATACGCTCAGGAAAAAGGAACTGGGAAAGCCTCAGCCTTCTGGCAGAGTGGAGTCACGATGATTTAGGCCTTTTCCATTTTCGCAGTAGGGGTCCCTGGCCACTTGCTGTGGTCATGGGAACATCTCAGGAATGACGTGTGCCTTTGGAACCTCTGACTGTGCCGTGTAAGTTCCCAGTGAACCCTGCGGGGCGAAATTTTGCTGCAAACTATAAGATGTAGCAGTCTGCTTCCGGAAAGGTTATAGCTTTGGACCCTGTGGGCAGTTCTACCCTGTCTACTCTAGGGTCGCTGTAAGTCGAAACTGACTCGACAGCAGTGGATGGGTGGTGATGTAGCTAAGAAAGCCAATATAACATTGTTTGGTACGAACTAGTTCAGTGGAGCTTGAGGAGGGGAGGGCAGGACGGCTGTGAAAGCTAACTTTGTTTTTGAGAAGGCAGTTTTTCATTGCAGCATTGTAAAATGAACCTACTGCTTGAGGGCACTTCAGGCCATGACACATCAAGTTGTGTCTTCAGTATAGCAGGTGCATTTAAGCATGTGTCATGTTTTTGAGGCGGAAGGTAAGAGCTGTTTCATAGCACCTGGATCCCCCTATGTTAGGAGGCTTTTCCTGGGACTCTCACTCCCAGGCTGTGTCCAGGACTGGTTTGTGCTGGTCACTTAGTCACCTGCCATCTGCATCCTGCTCATGCAGGCTACCTCTTGCTGACCCTTGTGCAGGATGCTAAACCCCCAAACCTGTCCCATAGTATTCCATGTGGATCTTGTTACACAGTGACTGGGTATTCCAGTGTGTCTGGGAGGTTCACCACGTGCAGACTGACCAGAAGCCAGCCTCAATTTTCACGGAAGGAAACAGGCAGGTTAGACAGCGTGTACAAATTGCTGCTAGGTCTGCTGTGGCTTAACTATGTGGTCTGTAAAATGGCATCTAGATGTGATCCCCTTAGAGAGTTAATAAAGGAAGAATGTTGGGACATACAGGCAATGCTGGTGGCAAAATCTTTCCTCAGTACTTTGCTTTGTATTAATACTAACAGTATTATATCATTATAAAATACCTAAGTCACATGTTTGATTTGCTGGTTTGTTTTCTAAGATGAAATTAATACCTAACTATTAAAAACTATGTTCTCCGCTATGCCACTGAGAACTGTCCTCTCGCCTGCCGCTGATTCTCCTGCAGCCCTTTGTGAGATAGAGCTCTGGTGGTGGAGGGGATTGGGGAGGCTGTGTGGCGGAGGAGGAGAGGGAGGTGGCAGGGTGGGGTTGCAAGCAGATGCCATCTCTGCTGTGAGGAGTGTTACGTGCAGCCTCTAGCTGTCAAGTGTCAGCTCTCACGGGTGCGATGTGAGTGTGGGCTGGTTTGGGGAATGCAGTGAAGTACTGATGTGGCTTCAGGGCCACTCATGGGAGGCCTGCCGTGTCAGGAGGAGGTGATGTGGCCGCCTGTCTCGGGGTATGTGTCACCCCACCCTACTAGGTGCACTTCACCACCTGCAGGCTCTGTCATCCCTGGGCAAGATGTGTCTTCATCTGTAAGTAGGGACATTGTTGCCCAGGGCAACACTTAAGAGGACTACATGAATACATTTATTCCTTCCGGCAGATTTTGTTGAGCAGTTACTGTGTGCCAGGTGTTGTACTTTAAAGGCTAAATGAAAAGAGAAGAAAGAAGTAAGCACCAAACCAAAAACTGAACCCATTGCCGTCGAGTCGATTCTGACTCAGCGACCCTGCAGGACAGAGTAGAACTGCCCCACAGGGTTTCCAAGGCTGTAAATCTTTACAGAAGCAGACTGCCAGAACATAGTTCTATAAAATACCTACAGCTCAAAGGGTGAGGTAGAGAACTATAAGGGACCTAACTTAACAAGGGCTGTTTGGGAAGGTGTGGCTAAGGAGGGGAGACCGAAGCCAGGTCATAAGAGATGAAAAGACACCAGCCATGATGGTGTTAAACTAGAGCAGAAACAGAGATTTCCCCTCCTTGGGAAATCCACTACTGTAGGGAGATGATGACAGAGAGGCAAATATTTGCAAGCTTAGTTTGTCTAGAGTGATTGATCAGTGGTCACTGTTGCCCAATTACGGGCTTCCTGGCAACTGTGGGATCCCAGGGCTATGTGTTGGCTGGAGCCACTCCAATGAGGACCACTGTACTTTGGACTAAAATCCTACAGAAGGAGATTGGAATTTCCTGAGGAAGCTTGAAGTCACTCTGTCCAATTGGGATGTCTTTAGACATCCCAGGAATTGGCCTTGGCCAAGCTACTCATAGGGGTCATGCTTTACGGAGACTCTGCTGATGCCTCTCAGGGAAGGTTTGTGGTGCAGGAAGGACAGCAGCAAGCCATGACATGAATTTACCCTGAGGGTGACACTCTGATCCAACCTGGAAACTGGACTTGGCCCAGGCGACACAATTCCTTGGGGCAGCTTGGTGTTTGGCAGCCACTTAGCAGAAAGAGAAGACAGCTGCACGTCATCATGAAGCCTGGCATCTGATGCCCTGCTCCATGCAGCCAAACAGCACCCTAATCTGAGGCAACTTCTGAAGGCTGGGGCCTTGTAGAATATTTTTAACACTCTGTGTAATTTTGCTCAGATATCACGAGCATTATAAGCCTCCAGCTAATCAAATATTCCTGCGGAGAAGTTGGAATGGATATTTAATGAACACTCAAAATTCTTAAAATAACTGCTGTTGTATTGCTTGGCACGCAGACCCCAGCAAATG